GCCACCCCTAGGTCATCGAAAACCACCCCGACGGCAGCACGCAGGAGATCATGCTCATCACTCTTGGCCTAAAGAATCCCCCGCACCTCAGTGAGCTCCGTGTCTAGCCCGATAGAGATGCTCTCGGCCTTCAACCTTCGGGCCACCGTGGCTCCAAGATCCGCCCGGAGGGAGCTAACCCCCTGACGTGCCTCGTTGCGCTCTCGGATGGCCTAGTCATGCTCCAAGTGGAGTCTTTCTGTAGTCTAGCACAGCTCATCTCGCTCCCTGCGTAGTCGGGCAACCACCTTGGCATCCAGATTCATCTTCTGCTGCAGGGCCACGTGGACCTCTCCTCGGCTTCTAGCTTGATATACCGCTCCCTCTCCACCTCAGCCGGGAGGTCGACGACCCGTTAGCAGGCCTCGGCATCCTTCTGGAGCAACTCATCTCACTCCTTTTGGACCTAGATAGCCGACTCCTTGTCCTGCAGCACCCTCACCGATAGATCCTAGAACATCCCATGGACCTCCTCCGCGTCCCGACGCGCCTCGGCTTCCCGTTGTTGGGCGGCAGCAAGCTGGGCGCTCACATCTCTATGCAGCCGGGCCTCCTTGGTGAGGCGGTCCCATTCCACCTTCTGCTCGCGGAGGAACTAGGATTTCTCCTGGCTACGAGCAATGAGGGACTGAAAAGAAGACCATTGTCAAAAACACAAAAATACATGAAGAAAGAAGAAAGCAAGAGGGAAGATCAAGCGGATACCCAGCCAGTGGGAACAATGATGTCACGTAGGACACCCCTAGCCAGGTTTAGGACATCCATCATAGCCGAGACCCCTCCATTAAGACTCTCCCGCTCTGTGCTCTCGGTAGCATCGTCGAGCGAGAAGAGAATCGACATTGGCTCTTTAAGATCCATACACTGGAGTAGCAACTCACCCTGCGTGGGCGAGCGGCTGCCCCCCAACATCAGGGCTAAGGGCGACCCCTCGATGGTCCTCTCCACCACCGCCATGATGCCCAGGGACTCTCCGGCCATGTCCCCCTCTGTCCGGCCCACCTCGGGCACCGTCGCCTAGGCCACCGGTGGCACGGATCACGACGCTCTCTCGGACACCACCGTGGCTACGTTCGGCTATGCCTGGCTTGTCATGGTCATGGCCACCTCCGCTTGCGACGCCGGGGCCTCGACTTGCGGTGCCGCGCCCACCACAGAGGGCGCCACAAGCGTGAGCGGCGGCTCCTTCCGCTCCGACACAGGCGGCGGAGTCACCTCCGTCGTCGTTGCTCGGTGACCCCTAAGGGTGCTCTGTTAGCCCCGGTGTCTGCTTGACCCGCCGAGGGCACGAGCGCCAACACAGGCAGTGCCTGACCGACCGACGAGGCCACAACATCAGCTCCGCTCCTGCCCGAAACAGGAGCAACGTTGGCGACGGCGCCCATCCCGCCTAAAGAGCAACGCTCTTCTTGGCGCCAGCACCAAAGAACGGCCCTATCTTAAGACTCTACAAGAGTTAAAAGGCATAAGGTCACACTAAAAACAAAAAAAACAGAGGAATCGGTGACTTACGCTGGTCGCTGTTGGGCGGTTGGGACATTTTGGGGACGAACCCCTAGATTCCTGCTCCAATTCATCTGGGCGGGACCGTTTTGAGCTTGCCCCCTGCTCCTAGGCAGAGGGGCTCATCTCCCTTGCCTTGAGGGTACGCCACCGGAGCCACCCCTCTCTGTCAACACCTCGGGCGCGGCAGCAAATCCACCCACCCCTATCAGCTCATGGGGCGCGGTAGTAGAGCCACCCCCCTCCATCGGCACCCCGGGCATAGTGGTGGATCCGTCTACACCCACCGGTCCTGAGGACGGGCCAACGATTTGGCCCACCTCCTTCGGCCTCACGACCGCATCTTCCCCGGCGTGGAACGGAAGGGTCCCTACATTGACGAGTGGGCACCTGTCAGCGCGTCCTCGCCTCCTAGATTGCCCCACTCAATGTCGGCAACTACCTCATCATACTCCTCATCATCATCATCATCGTCACCGACACTATCTGTCTCCTCTCCTTACTCCCATGCTTGCTGCTTCTGTAGCATCTTCTTCCTCTTGAACTCCTTCGTCTTCCTATCCCACTCGGCCATGGTGCAATTCGCCACCGCCACGAGCGGATCCTTTAGTAGTGGAGCCGGGCTATCCACAAAGATGAGTCTCTTCGGCTAGTACCGCTATCCTAAGGTCAGCATCAAGGGGTCGAGAATTCAAGTAAAAAGGAGGCACGGGGAAATAGAACTTACAAAGTCGATGAACCCCGATTCCGTCCGCATTGGGGGATGCCCCGACACCGGATACACGAAACCAAGGACAACACCGGCATTGTCCTTCAAAGGCTCCATCACCTCCTTGATGCGCTGCGCCACTTCGGAGGGGGGAGCGCTTCATTGACAAGCGTCGTCCCTTCGAGCGGCTCTCTAGGCACCATCAGGTACAGGGGAAGTGCACTGCTCATCACCAGCTCCACCCTCCACGTATGGTAGGTGCCGATGATCCCCGACCCCTTCACACCCCTCTCCTTCAGAATTTGGAGGGCGGCGAGATGGTCCTTGATCCTCTTCTTGTCTTTGTCCGGGACACCCCACTTCCATGACTCTAGGACATCTTCGATGATGCGCCCAGAGAACGCTGGCAAGGGGGCGGCAACGTCGTCCATGACGTAAAACCAATGCGAATGCCACCCCTTGTAGGAGGTCAACAGATGCATCGATGGGTATTCGTTCACCCGGTTGTTGCGGAGATGAATGTCGATGCATCCCACAAGCACGCTTAGCTCTTGCTTCCCGACTCGCTTCTTCAAATGGTTGATAGCGAAGAGATACCGCCACAGGTCGAAGTGGGGACTAATCCCCAAGAACCCCTCACACAAGGTGACGAACGCCGCAATATGATGGACCCCATTGGGACTAAGGTGCTGCAACACCACCTTGTAGTAATCCAGCAGCCCCCGAAGGAACTTGTGGGCACGGGTGGCGAACCCCCGCTCGTGAAAGCAAGAAAAGGACACAACATAACCTTCGGGTGGCGATGGCTCATCCTCATTGCCGAGCAGCCACCACTCCTCGACGGCAGCCAGCGGGCAAAGGAGGCCACGGCGAACGAGGCCCTCCAGGCGCTGAGGGGTGATGTTGGATCTACACCGTGGCTCCGTTGAATGATTGGGAGGAGGGTGGATGCGAGCTTGATGGCGGCTGCAATGCGGGTACGGGAGGCTCAGGTGATTGGCGGCGAAAGTTGTAGATGCAAAGGCGAGATGGCAAAGTACGGAACCCTAGGGGTGAACCCCTTGGATTTATAGGGGCGACGGATGCGAGAAGGGCAACCATCCTCCTAGATCTCTGCGTCTGCCACGATACACCACCACGTTACATCACGGGATATGCGCCCGCAATCCCTAACCTTTCCTACCAAAGTCGCGCCGGACGTTTTGCTTTCCCGGGCAGACTAGGACTCTTTTCCCACAGAGGGGATACAGGTCAAGAACCATTTCTCCAGCCCGCTCGGGCCAGGATCTCGAGGCAAGCCCAATAGTTTCAACGGTCGTCCCAACGAGGGATGGGCCCGCAAGCGGCAGAACTCAGGCACACGAACCTCAAGGGAATCTCGATCCACGATTGAGTCTCGACCGGGCTAAACCTGGATGAATCCCCACAAATAGGACACCAGGGTTCCCTTTAAGCTATCCAGTTGTCAGAATACCAAATCTCACAACCATACCCATGAAGGGTCCAAAATACCCCCGGGCGATTCTATCCTAATCGCCCGAGGGCTTAGGGGCTACACCCGACGGGTGCGCTTGCGCGCACCCTCTAGTGAATTAAAAAGCCCCATGGGTGATTCTATCCGAATCACCTAGGGGCTCAGAGGCTACACCCGACGGGTGTGTTCGCGCGTACCCTCTAGCGAATCAAAAAACCCCTGGGAGATTCTATCCGAATCACCTGGGGGCTCAGGGGCTACACCCGTCGGGTGCGCTCGCGCGCA